TGCCCTAATCTATCCGAACCTGTATCTTTTACCGTCTCCTATGCTTATCCCAATCGTTGCCCTCGAAAAACGGACACTCTGTATATGATGACTTATTAGGTCTGTTTTCACAGAAATCACAAAGCAGTCAGAGTGAATTTCATTGGTTGAAACTAGTTTTCTGACTGTTTTCAACCAATGAAATTCACTCTTCAGAATGCAACCGCTCGCGCCTTGCTTTGTACGTGACAAGCACAGCTCTTCATTTGTTGCATTTGCTTCATCTCTGTTTTGGCGTCGCTCTTTCCGTGCTGCGGACTATTATAGTTTTGTGAACAGTTAAGCGGGTTCGAGGGATGAATAGCTCTTGCAGTTTGTGTACATATTTCTCACAATCGTTACACAATCACACCACAATCGTTAACAGTCTGTCACAATCGTTACACAATCAGACCACAATCGTTCACGATCTATCGTATTCGTTACACAATCACTACACAATCTATTTATTCAAAGTTGTACAAGTACAGGTGATGTTCCTACCTAACTAGTACAGTAAGAGTTGCTATTTAACAATAATACTAAAATGAAAGCTAAATAAAAATTATAATAAATAACATTGAAATATCAAAATGCAAACCGAAACACAATCAAACAAAAAACATTTTTTTAATTAATAACCGCCTGTAGAAATTGGTAAATGAATACCTAGTATCTATCGTTAACAATATATTAAGGTAAGGTAGTCACAATGAATCCGAGAAAACAAAATCGGAACATTCAACACTCAAGACATGATGTAAGCTTGAAAGTTGTCGGTTTGCTATCTAACTTAAAATCGGAAGGAATACACACACTTAAACTTACATGGAATCCCTCAATTTGTGATATATATATTGGCCTTTTATTCAATTCTTATTGTGATAAAATTAGGGTCATAGATTTTCAATTATATTTCCAATGAAAATGAATTAATGAAACTATATTTTTACAGCAACTAATTTTTTAGTAAAAAATTCTTCAGCGAAAATATTCGGTGATTCCATATAAATTTGAGGTGTATACCTGTCATACAGTTCCATTAATCGGTTGCTAACACTATCTTTACAAATGTTATTGGGACTTTTATTTTTCTGAAACATGTCTGATTTTGTTCGATAAGTTGAAACCTTAAAGTTAAACATACTCAATAGGACATTACAATTATACTGTTAATTGTCAGAATTCTGTGCATAAATGCTAATGAAAGCAAATTTCTTCTTGATTCCAAACTTTCTATACCGAGAGTTTTTAACCTATCTCGCTAAGTTGAATTATTTCTACTTATCTTTAATTTGTACAATAAAAACTCGACAAATTTATGTTGCACTTGTTCTATTCTATTCTATCTTATATTCATTGTGAAAGGGGCACCACCTACCAGGGCCCGTCTCAGGGAGTAGAGCTCCCCAAAAGAACGAATGTTTTGTCCTTGTCAACATAATCGACAAGTAAACGAGAATGATAAAGACGAAAAATTTGTTCTCTTGGGGAGCTCTACTCCTTGAGACGAGAATCGGTCCCCAGACTACCACCATCTGTCGCACGTGAGGTCCCTCCAAATAATTTCCGTTCACTTTTTTCGCAAACACAGTCACCATTGTAGACAATCACTCATATCACAATCTTAGCAAATTTCCTCGAAGATTTTGGAATTTAGCAATCAGTGTACAGATTTTGGGTCATCTATTCACCCCTCGACACAATCATCACGCACTCACAAGCAATCATTCACAATCAGACCGAAATGGTTACAAAATCTCTCACAATAACTACACAATCTACCACCATCTGTCGCACGTGAGGTCCATCCAAATCATTCAAGTTCACTTAATTTACAATCACTCGCAATCAGTCCTCAATCGTTCGCAATCATACACAATCACAATCTTAGGAAATTTCCTTAAAGATTGTGAAATTTGGCAGTCAATGTACAGGGTGGCCCGTTTATTTTGTCCTATCTCGGTATATGGAAATCTAGATATTTGATGACAAAAAGTTAAATACAAGAGTTGTACAGCCGTATGCAACATGCTCTTTTAATTTAGAAGCGCTTTTTGAAACTGGTCACTTTTAAAAACTTGTATTCTAAGCAATACAAATTTTTAAAAGTGATCAGTTTTAAAAAGCGCTTCCAAGTTAAAAGAGGATGTTGTATACGGCTGGTAGGGTTTAAATCAATAATTTGTTTTTTTTTTTGGATTTGCACATATACAGAGGGTATCAAAGAAGTGTAACATATCAGATTTTTTTTCAATGGAACACCCTGTATATTTTTAATAATTTTTATATGTTTTTTTACCGCTTTTAAAGACAAATACAAATAAGTACACATAGTTTGATAGGTTTGTTATGAACGGTTTTGGATTTATTTACGGTTATCTTTAAGGAACAGACGATTTAGAGATTATTGTAGAAACGTTAAAAATAAATATTTTAAATTTGGACTTTGACCAAAGGAAAACATATTATATCGTCTATTTTTTCAACTAATTGTCAAAACTAAGTTCATTAAGTTTGTGTTGCTGTGTTGCTAAACTGTGAAAATTGTCATTGTTCTTCATTTTTTAAAATTGCACATCCTGTATACCTATTAAATGTGGGATGTAAAGTACTCTTTAAGATAACAATACATGGCCCACTTGAAAAAATGTAAAGTTTGGAATAACTCAGTTATTTTTGATTTTAGTGCAATAGTGCAAGGAACCTTTTTGGTGAGAAAAACAATTGCAATCAAACTAGCAAAAAATAAACAGGGTCCGCCAGTGCTCAATTGTTTTTCAGTTTTTACCATTTTATTTAGCGCAAGAAATGCTACTAGTTTGTTACTCATATAATAAGCGAGTAACCAATAGTGCCAACTTAATTTCAAACACCCTGTGTAATGTCTTATACCAAAAAAGTTTGTTTTAAATTATTTTTCTTTCCATATCTAATATACAAGGTGTGCCATTAAAAAAAAAAAAGAAAAATGAAGAAAACGACAATTTTCAAAGTTTGGCAACGCCGCATCACAAACTGAATGAACTTATTTTTGAGAATTAGTTGACTAACACGATATATTTTCCTTTGGTCAAAGTCCGACATCCAAATATTTATTTTTAACGTTTCTATAATAATCTAGAAATTGACCGTTCCCTGAATATAAGTGTAAATAAATCCGAAACCGTGCATAACAACCCTATCAAACTATACAGGGTGATTTACGTAGGCCGTGCATTGGAAGTTTTCAAGGTTGCAGGAGGATTAAAAACTTCAAATTTGGTTTGTAGCCATAATCAATCGTTCCGGTGTCACCTGAAATATTTTCAGATCTTCAACTATACAGGGTGCACCAAATGTGAGCACTAACTTTCTTATTTCAAATAGAAACTCGCATCTTTTTCAACATAGTTCGGTTAGCCTTGCAATTTTGAGTTTGGACCACCCAAGTTTTGTCAATCTATCTTTTGACATAAATATCATTTTTTGTTATAAATTGCCGCTGTAGTTATTTAGAAAAAAAACAAGGTTTCTTGAAAACCGTTCTAAAATAATAAACCAAATTTGGAAGATAACACCATTCGAAAGAAAATTGAATTTTACGTGGTATTACTTAAGCATTCCCTATATGTAACTTGATTCGTTATGGAGTTGTCCATAGAAAAGTCCACTTTTTCTGACTAGGCAAGTCAAAACTCAAAATACACCTTTCACGCCTGTCAAGTGTTAATAGATAACTGCTATAAATGTAGTTTGGAGAAAAATAACTATTTTTGCTATTTTTTTTTATTTTTTTGAAAATGGACAAGTTACGAGATTTCTTGATTTTTATGAATAAGTCAATAACGAATCAAGTTAGGTATAAGGAATCCTTAAGTAACGCCATCTAAAATTCAATTTTCTTGCAAATGCAAAAAACATAATAGGTGACATTAAAAAAAAAAACTTTTTGACCATTATTGATTCAAATATTTGTAGGTCGCCTGCACCCATATGGTGTGAAATGGGCGCACTAATGACACATCAGGAGTTAGCCTAAACTTTCAGCTAATTATCTTCTAAATTTGGTTTATTATTTTGGAACAGTTTTCAAGAAACCTTGTTTTTCCTAATTAACTGCAGCGGCAATTTGAAAGAAAAAATGACATTTATGTTAAAAACTATAAGAGATAAGTTGACAAAACTTGGCCCAAACTCAAAATTGCAAGACCAACCGAACTATGTTGAAATAGATGCATGTTTCTATTTGAAATAAGAAAGTTAGTGCTCACATTTGGTACATCCTGTATAGTTGAAGATCTGAAAATATTTTAGGTGACACCGGAACGATTGATTATGGCTACAAATCAAATTTGAAGTTTCTAATCCCTCTGCAAGCTCGAAAACTTGTAATGCACGGGCTACGTAAATCACCCTGTATATATTTACATTTGTCAAAAACGCTATCAAAAAATATTAAAATATAGATACAGGGTGTTCCATTAACAAAACTTAAATCTGATGTGTTACACTTTTTTGACACCCCCTGTATATGCACAAAGACAAAAAAAAAACAAATTAATAACTCAAACCCTAGAACTTTTGTATTTAACTTTTTGTCATAAAATATCTAGATTTCCACATACCAAGATAGGACAAAATAAACGGGCCACCCTATACACATTTTGAGTCAGCTATCCACCCCTCGAGCCGGTTCAAAGTGTTACACTATTTTTTATATTTTTTTTTTTGTGATTTTTGTGTTTGTGTTGTTCAAATGAAGTTCATTCAAGATTGGAAGAGTACTCTCACTTATTTGCGAACCTGCATATAAGATAAGTACCAGGATAAGTACATTTTTATTTTTTTATTGTTCAAATAAGGAAATCCTTGTCCAATTAACCAGCTTTAACTCTATCAGAATTTATGAATAAAATAAAAATTTTACTAAAACAAACTTTTACTAAAAAAAATAATAAAAATTGGAAACTTGCAAACTGATAAACTGGTAAAATTCTTACCTCGTCTGGTGGACCTTCAATTCTAATCTTGTTCTCCTTGTCGGTGAATTCTACATGCACCTTGGGCAAGTTCTGGGTAATCTCCTTAATTTTCTGCCCCTTCTTACCAATAATATACTTGTGCAGCCAAGAAGGTGCATTGACATCACTTGAACGTACAGAGTTGGCTTTGTCGTAAACCACACTCAATGCCAGTCCCAGTTTGTCATGGGGTCCTCTCAAGTTAATGGTACCAAGGTTTGAGTCGCTTGGGGGCATTTCCACGCTGACGCCGGTTTTTTGAAGAATGTCCGCGATGGTGGAACCTTTAGGTCCGATGACGTATTTGTGTTGAGACTTTGGTACTTCAACAGAGACGGTGGTGCATTTCTTTTCCATGAGCTTATAGATTTCTTCAATTTTGGCTTTGGCGGCCGCCACACCATCTTTTTCGCCAGCAATGAAAATTTCATCTTTATTCACGGACGGAGGCGGAACATTGATTCTGGCGCCGGTTTCTGCAATAAGTTGGTTAAGATTCTCGCTGAAAGGTCCCACGATAAACGGATGGTAAATTTTGGGTATGTTGAGCCTCTCTTGGGCTTTTTTGGATTGCTGATCTGAAGTTATTTTGATTTCGTGTTCCGCTTTCTCTATTCCTATAAAAAAAAACTCATTTAGACCGAGATTTGGACAGATTCCAGAAGATGCAAAAGTAAGGGTAATTTATAATTCTCATTATTCAATAATAAAAACTTTATAAAACAATATTACCTTCTTTAGGGCCTGTAATGGTTATAACATCAGAATCATCGTTCATGTTAGGCACTGAAATTTTAGTAGCAGTTTGTTTCTCTAGGTCCTTTAGTCTTTCTCCTTTTTTGCCAAGAATCCATTTGTGGTGCTCTTTTGGGATTTGGATAGATTTGTGAGCCTATGTAAAGCAACGAAAAAAACATATATAACAATAAAGTTGAAAAAGCACAAGCTTATTAAAAAAAAAACAAACATTAGAACTGTTGCAAGTGAATGAGAAGATAAGACTATGGCTTAAATGTCAAACTTCACTCTAGCTTGCATATTATTTAGCATTAGAAGTTTTACAAACTTCTTCGTGTAACTGAAGTTTGTTTAGAACAAAATGCATTGGAATTGGTGAACTATAGTCTGTTCATAAAGTCTACAGACTTAATCACGTGCGTGATCTGAAATTTTGGACGCTGATTGGCCAACATTAAGGGGTCGACTTGGGCGACCAGCGCCCAAAAACGACTAACCCGTGGCCCTAGTGAAGCCCCAAAATCTAGCCAATCAGCGTAGACCATCTCCAATCGAGCATTTCCCTTCAGTCTATATATACACTTTATGAACAGATTTTATATAGGGAACTCGTTCCTACCTGTGTCTGGAAATGGGTTAGAATCTTGACTCTAGCCTTAAGTACTTCATTCTGCTTTCCGGTTACGAGGAATGTCAGGGACTGGTCTTTGGCATGAGATATTTCGATATGGGCCCCGGTTTCCTTCATTATGGAACCACAAGTTTGAACGGATTCGCCTTCGCCGAACTTTGAGCCTCCGTCGAGTTTACGTTCTTCATAAGGGACTCTGAAAGAAAAATATATATTAAAATGTTTGTGTTTGTTTTTCGTAGGTACTTTCAGACTAGACAATTTGAGTCAGAGCATTGATTTTTTTTGTGCTTGGTCACTTTTCAGGCATCCTAACTCTCACTGAAACGATAGTTGTGTGTGGATGATATTGTATTACATATTAAAACTTTGTATAGCATTTAGGTTCCAGGATACATTTTATTTAGTATTGTATAAGCAACATTGTAATTTCGATATAAATGGACTATGTTAATAAATAAATAAAATTCTTGACAGAAGGTTCCGACTTCCAGGCAAATCATTCCAACTTCTTCAATTTGTTCTTCACTCACTTCTTCACGTACCCCTTTCATTGCATTTTTCAATGAATCAATCATGTTTATTAAATAAGCCTTGAAATAAACAGTACATGCTGTATAACATAATAGTTAAGCCTACACTGTTAAGTATTTAGTTCTCGGCATATTTCTTCTAACTTTTGTTGATCAATAAAACCGTTCAAGATTGGTCTAAATCTGAAATGCGAAGGACCGACAATTACTATACTGGTGTTGATATTTTTCAGCATTTGAACTATTTTTTGATGAACCTTTTTTCCTCTTTTGGGGTTCTGAAGTCCTCCGAAAATTACTACTCGATTAGCAGGTGTTGAATTTCTGCATAGGAGGCATACAATCAACAATCTCTTCTAGCAATGCACTGGACTTATACTGATAGTTAATATCGGAAGCATTTTGTGTGGCTCTTTTGAAAATAAGATCGAATCCCTTCACACTATGATCACCCATAAATAAGGAGGTTTTCTAGAATATCGCTTTCGGTTGGGGTTATGTTTTCATCTTTTGACAGTTTACTTAGTATTTGGTCCTGTTTCTTCCTAATGCAGCAGTTATTCGCAGATATTTCCAGCAGTTTGTTGTGGATGCCAGTGACTGCTTCCGAGAATTCTCTAGGTTGATCTTGCTTTATGTGTTTCATTTTGAAATTTTCTGTTCTTGCTTTCTTTAGATCTGCTAAAAAGCATTCATTTTCTTTGGCTCGGACTTCGATTGTTTCTAATGCTCTGAATATTTATTGAGAGTATATTGAGGCTCTGTGTTGACTTTTTCGGGGTTTTAACGACGACTTTTTTATAATATATACAGGGTGGAATTTTTAAATGGAATAAATTCAGTATCAGAAAGCCTGTTTATTTTCTGGAAAAATAAAAAAAACGGGTCGACTGTCTCGATCATTTTGTGTTGCTCCGTAAGCTTGAAGTGTATGGTTTTAGAGGTGTGACTCTAAATTGGTTTCAGCCATACTCAAGTGATCATCGGATGATCGGATAAAATGAGCAACAACTGCGGTGTGCCTCAGGACTCTATCCTTGGTCCGCTTTCGTTTTTGATCTATATTAATCATCTTGCCTCTCTTAGGGTCGGAGGAAGTATTAGACTTTTCGCTGACGACACATCCATTGTCTGGCATGCAAACAGTGGAGATGAATAATATTGATTTGACAGCAACAATCTATCCTTCAACATATCTAAGGCCAATATGTTAAACTTCAAGAGCTCATTATCCAATATCTCCTTATGTGGTCATTTTATTCATCCTACCACCTGTGCTAACTTTCTTGGAGTTACAGTGGACGAGAGTCTCAAGTATAAGCAGCATATTGTGGCACTCTCTAGTAGGTTATCATCCAGCTGTTCTGCTTTGAGAGTAGTCTTAGGTTTATGCTTAGACTTACCTTCCGACAATCTTGCAAACCTAGCTCCATTTCTCATATAATTTTTACTGTGCGATGCTTATACATACTGGAAAGTGTTTTCCTGGTCTATAGGAAATACTATGACCATTTTTCTTCTGCAAGGCACTGCCAATTCCCAGAAGTACCTTGGTGATGAAGTCTTTTGTTTATTTTGCCAAGAAAGCCTTCAATTTTCTACCATCTAGTGTTAGGTCTTTACATTCATACGGGAGGTTTAGGAAGGGGGCAAGGGAGTTACTTTTTTTCTGAACAATAAAGTACTTTTTGATTTGATTATTTCACTCCTGCCACTTATTTCACTATTTAGCTCAAAGTAATTCTAAATGCCGAGTTCTCCATATCAATCCAATAATTATTGAAAATATTTTCAAAATTCTTACCTGAAAACCTGAGTGATTACAGATGACCCAACTCTCATCTTGCTATTGATATTGGAGCCCCATTGGGGCATCGCTGCCTGTCGTTCTTGTTGTGAGGATTCCGGTAGAGCTGGAAATAAGTCATCGTAGCTTTTTGGTGTGGGCTCAAAAGCCGCGCCCCCTCCTTTCACTGGTTGCTGCATTTTGGGATTGTCCTGTTTCGCGCCAAGTCGTTACAGCAACACTGGAAAAATAAAATGACAACACATTATTATATGACTCGTGAGTTTTTTGTTATCTAGTTTAATTTTTAAAGATTAATGCGTGGTCAGTTTGCCCAGGTAGGCCCATCTAATAACTAATATTGCCAACGAAAAAGAAGTTCTTGAAAAAGTTGAGTTTTGACAATCAGGCCTATGATGTATCCTCTCCTGTTATTTTAAAAGGCTCAAAATCTATACCTGTCACTATTTTTACGTCTAGAATAAACAGTGACAGATAACTTAACGTCGCTGTTAAAATAACAGAAAATGATACATCAATGGGCAAACAACCTGTAATTTTATTTTATTTTTCCAATACCTTTTTGTTTTGAGGGTAAGCAAGGGTGAAAAAAGAGGAGATCGACTATCGATACTTATTATTTTCAGAAGTCAGAAAAAAACCTGCTAGCAATAATCCAGCAAATTGTTTTGCTCAAGGAACTTTTCTTTTTTAATTGTATAAGATTAAATATGGTCACCAATGTGAATCTCATGGGCCAAAAAAAAATATACATACTTTCACTTGAATCCGCATGGCTGTTATCTTATCTGTCAGAATTAATGAGCAGGACCAAAGGTTAAAACAATAAATAGTGTTCACTTTTCCTTAGCAAGCAAAAGTTTTGAGATAGTGCAAGGCAAGAAGACCCAAATTATATAATAATTATCATCATCTCATCACCACTACTTTAAAAAATAAGTGATGATGATTGTCTGGCAGTCATTTGGAAGAATATTTTGAAAATCTTAATGATAACCAATGATTTTGGGCACAGAAATTTTAATGGTAGTTTGTTTCTCTAGGTCCTAGATTTGTGACCCTATTTAACACAATGAAAAACCCAATAAAATACAGTGAAGTTGAAAAAGCACAAGCTTAAAAAAAATTGAACTGTTGCAAGTGAATGAGAAGATAAGACAATGGCTAAAATGTCAAACTTCACTCTAGCTTGCATATCATTTAGCATTAAGTTTTACAAACTTCTTCATGTAACTGAAGTTTGTTTAGAACAAAATGCATCGGCATTGGTGAATTATATAGGAAGCGCCTTCCTAACTGTGTCTGGGTTAGAATATTTTATATTTTATATGATTTTCTGGCAGGCATTTGGGGAGGACTGGGAGGAGGTTTTGAAAATCCTTATGATATAGCAATCGTCCATTTCCAAGGATTGTCAGCTGATTTAAGGAATCTCAAATGGCGGAAAAAGAGAAATACATAAATTTTTGAAGAAATAGATTATTCCTCGGATTATTCATTCATTTCTCAATATGAAGTTCTAATTAATTTCCAAGCTCCACTATCTGATATGTTCGAGGGTTTTTTTTTTTAGAACATTCACATTTTCTGAAGATCCATTATTGAAAATTTCAATGACAAACCTGATTAACAAAAGGTTCGTACTTTTTTCTTTTGATTTTTCCTTTGGAATGGTAATACCCTGCACTAAATTTGTCGATCAGAGGATACTTTTCTTTAGGCAAAATAGAGAAATTCCAAATTTATTTTTGGAAATTTTCAAACAGTTGTCCTGCTAGCTTGATATGAAACTATGTTTTTGCTATTTTCTCGAAGTTTTCAGAAGCAAAAAAAAGATGAAAGTATAGTAACTAATTAGCAACAAATACTCCACTAGTAATCTTTTGCTTTTGCTGAGTTTGTCATGCCAGCTTGACAGACATGGAAAATTCCAAGTGATGGATTGGTATTATTATTGAGATGACAATAATGTGATAGCAAATACAACAAGTACAAAATAATGAAATTATTTTATTATCACTTTGATCCTTGACTTGATGAAAACAGAAGAATATGCAACCTAATGGTTTTCTAATCGTACTAAGTTACATGTTGTTATACATACTGAAATTATGCTGCGAATAACATTTTATTTATCTCGAGGTTTATCTATATTTAAATATCAAACATTTTTTAATAGTTATAATGGGATTTATGTACAAGTCAAATGATTTTATTTTACACTTTTCCGTCTCATCCTCTCATACTTAATATTTTCAAAACTGATGTTTTTGTTCAGTTTTTATGTTTTATTTCCATTCATAACTTTTACTCGAGTTGGTAAAATTGTGATTTATTTTAATTATCACCATTTCAGATTATCCCAGGAACAAGTAACCTTGATTTTTTTGATCCAACCCCATATTTTTACCTGCTTGCAATTTAAATTGTCATTAACATCAATATTTCAACGTTTCGCCCCATTATTTCATTTATGAAAAATATACAAGAAGTTTCTTAATTAAAATACAATTTCAAGCAAATAGGGAACTGTTGCAGGTGAACCTATATAAAAACACTACTTGAAGATGGGATGACAATTGTTGCCCAGGTGCAAAAAAAAAATAGGCAACTCATATAATGTTCAAGTTTTCTATAATTCCAAAGCTAACCCAAAATAAACCATGCAAGCAAGTTCTTTGACTTTAGAAAACACACCAATGACTTCAAAATTCTGAAACACTGCAACGCCTATTTGTTCAAATTATATACAGAATGTTATCGCCACAACCCGCTCTATTAGGCAATGCCAAGTTTTAGTGGTTGAAAGCTCGTCAGCCAAGATAAAGAAAATTCCCTGACATTGTCAACTTGACTGTGAACTCTTGATTTGATAGGTAATATTACAGGCAAAACTGTACAGTGAGCCTTGTTAGGTACGCAAACTTGCCAATTAATTGCTATACCGACATTTTTCATACAGGTTAAGAATATTTTGCCAAGTTTCTGTGCTCGACTAGTTCAGCACGTGAGTTGGATAAGCGATGTTCAATTTCAATGCCTCAAAACTCGTCGGCGAAGATAATATATAGTTGATTCACCACTACAATGGATGATTTAGGTGATAAACACGATCAGCAAATTGCAACCACGAATCTACATACACTGAGCCATGTTAGGTACGCAACTTGTCAATTTGGTAATGTACCTACTTTTTTTTCATACAGTGCTATCATTTTAACAAGTTGTGTGCTCGACTAGATCAGCAGGGATAGAAAATGCCATCGCATGTAAGTCTTGTCGAATGGATTTGAAATATTAGAGAGTTTTCGTTGTATTGGCAAATTCGAACGGTCAACCATAACGAATACGAATACGAAGCCGCTATTTGACAAATCGTAAAAATGGTTTTCGTTCGATCTGGTTAACGTTAACGTTAAGTCAAATTCGACAAACATAACCTATCTTTGCTCGTTCGTATTCATATACGTTTTTTGCTACCTACCCTTTGTTTTAATTTCCTAGTACCCAAAAGTAATTAGTGTTCCCTGTGGGTTTTACAAAATTGGCATTTACCAAAGCCTATTTAGATAAATAGCCATATGGGTTGTTGACCAATATTTCTTCTAATAAAATAATATCGTCCTCATCCGTGAAACGATTTCTCACTTTTTCGAGGAAATTTGGTGTTGAATCCATTGCGAAAACCAAAAACATTTAACAAAAAAAAAAAGGGAATACGCATGCGTTCCTTTTCGCTATGGCTTTTTCTTCCATCCGTAAGCTCTTGGCACTTATCGGTAACGATAAGAGAAATGACAGCTCAAAGTTGTCAAATAGCGGCTTCTAAAATACAACTATAACTATCTATTATGCCTCAGTTCATATTACAATTTTATTAGTTAGGTGATGAACAGGATCAGGAAATTGCAGCCTCAACTGTACAGTGACCAATGTTAGGTACGTAACTTGTTAATTTGGTACTGTACCCTTTTTTTTTTTTCATGAAGGTTAAGCATCATTTTAACACGTTTTGTGCTTGATTATATCAGCAAGTGAGGGGAATACCTTAGGCGATGAACACTATCGCCAAATTGCTTGCACTGCTAGGTAAGCAACTTATCGATTTGCCTTTGTATACTGTTTTTGTTTTTGTTTAGTACACGAATAACTTCGAAATTTTGAGATCTATACCACTACAACCTCTATTTTTCCAGATTCACAGAATGTTATCACAACTAGCTCTGTTGAGCAATGTTAGGTACGCAAATTGTCAATTTGACATTCTACAGTTTTTTTTACACAGCTAGGGGTCACTTCAACGATTTGTGTACATGACTCGATCAACAAATTGCGGCCACAACTGTACAGCGAGCAATGTTAGGTACGGAACATGTCAATTTACCGTATTTTCTTACAGGTGTATCGCCATTTTGACATTGGGTGGTATGGATAAAAACTGAGTTTAAACTTGGAGTATATACTCGTGAGCATGAGTATGAAGTCTGAGCTTATACTCCATTTCGTAAGAATAAAAAAGATTTCGGTTTGATAAGTACATACTCCTAGTACATAGAGTAGATACTCAACATTTTATTTTGCTTGCCACCGCTCTTCCACCTCTATATCCTATTTACAATCCGATGTCCACAGGTACAAGTAAATTTATCACCTTTCCCTATCAAATAGCATTGAAAGGTGATAAATTTTCCCTGTAGCTGTGGACATCGGATTGTGAATAGATAATATTATATCCGCAGGACTGCGGGGAAATTTGTTCCACCGTTCACTTTGCTGAATTATCTTATCAGCTACTTCCGATACAATTTTAGACACCGAAGTTTGGTGAACACCAACATCCTCGCCTACTCCTGCCTGAAAGCCCGGGTCACCTACGTATCTTAAAAATATTTTAAATTTGTCTTTGTTGCATAAAGCACCACCTCTTCTTTCTCCAGACTCTTCCCCCAAAAATTGTTTGATAACCACTCCACAATTTCTTTACTCAACCGGTATAAAGTCCCGATCACACGTATTTTTTCTAGCTTTGTGAAAATTTTCCGAACGCAGGTTAAGATTGAAGAACTCTGCCATAGCTCTGCCTTCTACCGAGGGAAAATCGGTACTGAAATATTTTGAAGCAGAAAGTTGAGTCTACTTCATAGCAGACTCTAAAACTATGGAGTAGATTCTTCTGCTGAAGAGCACAAACAATTTTTTATTCATACCAAAAGTGAGAAT